GATTTCAGCTGTGCTCATTGTGTCACCAAATATTTGATGCTGCACAAACTAACAGTGAGGATCCTTGATCATTTATTTGCAAGATAATCTTCTAAATGAGCCTCGTCGCTGTTTCCATGGCACCCAAATTAGACTCTGCATAGTAAGTTTAGCATTGGCTCTCGAGAGCTGCATGTACAGGTATTGCATATTCAAGGAATAAATAAGAAAAAATGGATATGCAAGAGTCTTTTAGAGGATTTTTAATGAATCCTCTGATGGAAGTTGTCTGTGGTGAAATATACAGTTGGTGCCTATTATGGTGCTACGGTACCAGCAGCAGCAGCTGAGGCAGTAAATAATGCATTGGCTTTAATCACCTAATGGTTTCAAAATGTCCAGCATTTCATTAGCAGCCCCATTCATTTTTTTTGTGCATAATTATCTAATATGAGATTCAGCTGAGGGAGATATTCCATTTGGTTTTGGCTGGAGGGCTGTGGAGCGGCTCACTAGCTACCTTGCCTGTGCCTGTGGCTGGGCTGAGATTGGCTTTAGATAATTTGGCTCGCACGCAGAGGGCTGTCTGACTTATAGGCATCACTGCTGCTGTCCACCGCTGTCAGACCAAGGGACCATAAATGTAACCTCACTGTATCTGTGCCAGGTTTTTTGCGACTAGTGAGCCCTGGCCCTTATCTTTATTATGGAAGGTGTCATTACCGCAATATTTACAGTGATAAAACAATTTGTCAGGGATTCAAGGAGAAATGTTTGTGACATTTCACAGTCAGGGACAGTGAAGTTGCTGATGGGGTCAACATAAGTATTCAGAGAAATATATAGAGATATAATTATATATATAACTAAATATAAACAGCTTAAAATGGAAGAAGCAGCCTGACTGCTCATCTGCTTGTTGCCTGTTAAAGTTCAGGGTCTGGCTGCTGGGCTGGGGTCGGCATTGACTCAGCTTATAAATGATGAGTTTGTTTAGTAAAGTCGTGAAAACTGTGTTATTAGTTTAGTCACACTGTGTCAATAGTTTTGATTTAGATGCTATATTATGTTCCTCTCGTACAGATCTCACTCCCAGTATGTTACATATGGATCTTTGTATGCGTGCAATCATATTTAAAGTTTGTTTGCCTGTTTTTTTCAAACCTGCTGCATTAATCTCGTGAAGCCAGGTAGGTTTGATAGCTAAAATTAACCCAGCAAAGGTAGAAAGGGAGTAAAGGCAAAACGAATCAGCAAGGAATTAAAAAAAATCTAATTACGAGAAAGCTGCAACAGCTGTGAAACCTGTGACTTAAGCCACTGCCACACTTCTAATAAGTCTTTTCTGCTTTTTTAAATTAGACCATCAGCTCTTGGCATTTTGTATTACCACACCTATTGGTTTAAGATCTAATCCGAAGAACAGCCGTCTCTTCTGATAAAACGGGAGTATTTGACACGAGAGGATGAGGCGGCACTGAAAGATCAGACTACAGTTTGTGAAAATGTAGAACCCCTTTTATTTTGTTCTCATAACTCTGGTGTCCGCATGTGTGTTTTTATCCATTTCAAGGTTTCTACATGTACATCGAGACGTCAAGACCGCGCAAGGAAGGAGACCAAGCACGGCTTATAAGTCCATTTTTCAATGTAGCACCTAAAAACCCTTACGGTATCACCAATCCACCTGCCTACTGCTTTGGCTTCTTCTACCACATGTATGGGAAACACATAGGTAAGAATGATTGCCTTCATTTAAAACCACTGCTTCATTTCTTAAACAATTTTAAAGTCTATCACTGCTCCCTGTTTTTGCTTGATAAAACAGCAAAACCAGCTTTGAGTGGATTTCAAGTTGCTTTGGCAGTTCTCTGCTGTAGAAAGGAGTTGCTTTCTTATTCTCGTGGAACTAAGTACAGTCAGTAAGGCAACACCACATGAAATTTTATTTCTAAAAGAGTACGTCATCAAGCATCTGTGGCAGGGGTGGGCAACTCCAGGCCTCAAGGGCCGGTGTCCCTGCAGGTTTTAGATGTGTCCTTGAACCAACACAGCTGATTTAAATGGCTAAATTAGCTCCTCAACGGCTGTATCCCAATTCAGGGTC